ACACACACACATACTAGAGACCTGGTGCATGAAATTTGTGCACGGGGGGGGGAGGTCCCCTCAGCCCAACCTGCACCCTCTCCAATCTGGGACATCCCTCTCACAATCTTGGACTGCTGGCTCCTAATCGCTCACCTGCCTGCCTGTCTGGTCACCCCTAACTGCCCCACCCCTGCCAGCCTGATTGCCCCTCACTGCCTCTGCATGCCCGCCTGATTGCCCCTAACTGCCCCCACCCCCCGCTGGCCTGGTAACCCCTTAATGCCTTCCCTGCTGGCCTGGTTGCCCCAAACTGCCACCCCCCTGCCAGCCTGATTGCCCCACGCAGCCTGCTGTTCAGTCATTTGGTCATCCCTCACTAACCCCCCTGCTGGCCTGGTTGCCCCATGCAGCCTGCTTGTTCAGTTGTTTGGTTGTCCCTCACTAACCCCCCTGCTGGCCTGGTCATAGGCAGCCATCTTGTGAGGATGTGAGGGTTAATTTGCATATTACCTCTTTATTATATAATATATACGTGTGTGTGTGTGTGTGTGTGTGTGTGTGTGTGTGTGTGTGTATAATCTCAGTCAGTGTAAGGCAGTAAAAATAAAATTAAAGCAGGGCAAAAAAATTGTTAAACTGATAGAGATATGAGAGGAGCTGTTTTAGATAGGAAAATCAAGGAACCTCTAAAAATGTGACATTTCAACAGAGAGATAAATAAATTTAGGGAACAAACCATACAGATATTTAGAGTAAATCTTTTTTTTAATAATTTTTTTATTGCTTAAATTATTACAAAGAGTATTACATATGTCTCCTTTTTTTCCCCGCCCTTGACAATCCCCTGATAGAGTAAATCTTAAAGGGAACATGGAAAATTATCAGCTCTAGATCAAACCAAGAACATATGCTATACCATCCTTCCACTCTTCACCTCCATGACTCTTCTCTCCAATCTAAATTTCTCTCTCATCCTCAAATTAAACATTTTATAAAACACCTAAGTATATCAAATGTAAATAAGGAATGGGTTAGATTCAGTGACTGGGCCAAGAACAGCCAGATAAAATGCTTTTATACCCTTTAATTGATGGTATGTGTTTTGGGAAAATATTTCGATGTCAAGAAAAAAAAGTAGTTAAAGGGACTCAATAGAGGTTGCAGGTTTTATTCAGATGATGCAAATCAAGGAGCACCTCAAAATTAGGTAACTCCCTAAGCTGGAGCAGGATTGGAAAAGAGAGAGTTTGTGACTTTGATTTTATCCTAAGTTGCAGTTTTTTCTATAACTGCTACAAAATCTGTGCTTGGAATTATTGGGATAGGTTGGTTTTCATGCCTCTGTCTTGGGATCACTGAAGCCATCTCATGTCAGCAGTTGACAGAACAGACTTTTTCCCCAAGATGTATCTCTGTAAGCCTTGAGAGTTGTCTGTAAGCTGTCTGATGTCAGTTAAAGTTCAGGGGAGTGGGACATAGAAAATGAAAAAAAAATGGAAAAGAGAAGAGAGAGAGAGAGAGAATGGAAGTAAAGGTCTCAATAGACAAAAGTAGGGTCTGCTTTAATTCTTTTATAGTTCCTCTTCTTGGCCAAAATAAATAACTTTCATCTCCAGGCAATCTTTTGGGAGAGAAAACAAAATTTCAGGGATATACAAGGTTCAGGAATTGAGTCAGAAGTCTCTCAGAGTGGGCTGGAGGAACAGTTTGTTCTTTGGTCTTCTGTCATTAATCATAGCTTGGACCATCTGCTGGTCTTGGTTAGATGTGATTGGATGCATTTGAGAAGGAGTATGCCTAACAGAAGAAAAAGAAAATGATCACTAGCCCTTGGGGGAAATTTTATCCCAAGGTTTGTATTCCTGTTGTTAATACCCAGGAAAAGAAGTCCCTTCTCCAAGCACCTGATGATGATCTATAAGTCCCAGGGTATAGGACTACATCTTTAACTCAGCAAATATTTTCCTTGGTTTCACAGATGTGTTCACTCAACAAAAAAAGTATCAGAAAGTTTGGGGGGAATGTGTGTGCAACAATCATTGATAACTGCAAAATTAATAAGCATAAAGCAGTGGGAGAACATAGTTCCATCCAATTGGCTGGCAAAAAACAATAATCAGTGGACACGCGCACACACAAATATGAATCCATTGGCCTTTTTCAGGTGTAAACCACTCCTACTTTTATCTTTGTAGTTTTCCTGGATGAAGCTGGCATAATGATATTCACCCCCTTAAACTGGGTTTGGCAGGTTTCATTACAATAGCTCAGGCCCATGAATTGAAGATTAGAAACAAATGTTTCCTTTTGAAAAAAAAAAAAGCAGGCCCCCCTTCTTTAGGATGTGAGGCTTTCTCCTATTTCTAGGGCTTATCGTATCTAGAGGTGTTATTTCTATGAGGGTTAGCTAAATCTTCATTTTGGTGGCCATTTGGCCTTGTCAAACAGATTCTGTCACCTCCTGATTCTATTAAAAGGCGTGCTAACTGATATAGATAAGAGTTTCTCAATACATGTATCTATCCTTTCAAGGATTTGGTAGATTTTTTTACTATGTCTTGGAGATCAGCCCAAGCCCAGGATTTGAAGATAATTGCAATTGAGATGCTGGATTTGGTTCAGGCCTTCTTGGGAGGGAGCAGGGAAAGTCTAGGTCTAAAGGTAAGAGGGAGCTGAGAAAAGGCAGGAGGTGACAGGAAGCAGGAAAACAAGGAGGTAGGCCACGAGAAGTGGGATTATAAGAGGCAGAATCAGCTAGACAGAGATGAGTCCATTTTTATGGCGGGAGAAGGCTGACGTTATTTGAGACCTCCACACATGGGAGTGTGCCTGAATCGTTCTCTTTTTGTTGCTTCCTCTGAGAGCATGAGTGGGGGAGGGGGAGATAGGGGTTAATGGGGGGGGAATGAAGACACATTTGTAATTCCTTAACTAATAAAGAATTTAAAGATTTAAATATATATATATATATATATATATATATATGATTTTTACAGAGAGGAGGGGAAGGGATAGAGAGTTAGAAACATCGATGAGAAACATCCATCAGCTGCCTCTTGCACGCCCCCCACTGGGGATGTGCCCGCAACCAAGGTACAAGCCCCTGACTGGAATCGAACCTGGGACCCTTGAGTCCGCAGGTCGACACTCTATCCGCTGAGGGCTGTTGCTTCCTCTTACATGTTAAAGAAAACTACCCATTTTAAGTTAGTTATTTTATTTTGTTCTAAGGCACCATGTAAATTTACAAGTTTTGACTTGTCCCAAGAGCCCCAAGGGGCTGCTGAAGTTCAATATAATCCCTCCTGAAGTCCCATCACTCAGAGAGAAACTTAACAGTTAGCTCATAATGGTAGGATATATGCCCAGTGGGAATGCATGGGGGTTGGGTACATTGTGTTTATCATAGTAAAAGTGGTTCTAGATAGAAGAAGGGAGAAGGACCTTGACCTACCTTAAGACCATCAAATTATCTACTTGCCCAGAGAATCCCAAAAGACAAAAGGAAAATAGAAGCAGGGATTTCTCAAACAATAGGTTAACCCTTTCAAAGAACCAAGCCTGAACCCTTCTGGCAACAAGAAAAAATTGGAGCACAAGATCGGAGGGGGACTGATCTCTGGATCCAACAGCTGTCACCAAGAAGGAAGCTAAGGTTCCTCATCATATTCTGTCCTTCTCTGAAACCTCAGCAGGATACCGGGCTTATCTAGACTCTATCCAAGTGATGGCATCAAACTGTCACGAAAAAAGTGGTTAGTGGCCCAAATAGAGGTTGGAGGCTTTATTCAGCTGATGTGCGTCAGGGGACACCTCAAAATTAGGTAACTCTCTGAACTAAAATAGGATTGGGATTGTTAAAGAATAAGAAGAGGGGGGTATGTGACTTTTTTCTTGTCCCAAGTTACAGGTGTTTTTTTTTCTTTTAATCTGTAACTGCTGCAAAAGTTGCTGTTGGAAAGGTTAGGCTAGAGTGATTTCCATGCCTCTTTCTCAGGTCGCTAGTGCAATATCATTTTGGCAGATGACAGAACAGTTCTTTCAAGAGTGATTTGCAAGCCTTGATGGTTGTCTGTTAGCTGTCTAATGCCAGTTAAGGTTCAGGTGAGCAGGAGATAGAAAAGAAGAAAAGGGCAAGAGAAAAGACAGGAGAAGGTAAGGAACGGAGTCAAAAGTCTAAGCAAGAAAAACTGGGGTCTGTTTTAATTTTTTTATAATAGTAAATAATAACCTGACTTCATTTAGGGGCATGACCCACTCAGGACATTACTCCTTTAACCACTTGGTGAGAATTGGGTTTGAGTCTGTGCATTGCATCTCCTAGGCCCTTGGCAATGGCCCTCTCAAATGTAGCGAGTCCTTTGGCTACTGCAATAGCAGCTGAAAGCAAACCCCTAATGGGCAGGTTTCCTATTACTGAAACTGCAGCTAGCCAGGGAACGGGAGGCAGGAAAACTGGATAAATTTTCTGGAACAATGCATTCCTGAACTCTACCCAGCCACACCCTTGCCACACCCAGAGGCACTGGCCACTCCTGAACATGGAATTCACACGCAAGCCAGCGGCTAAGTTCAGAGCTCAGGAACACCTTTGTCTATGAGGAAATGTGCTAGTCTAATCTTTTCCCTCTTCCCAGAGGCTACTAACATGAGAGGCTCACACAGTCTTGCATTTCCCTGCCCAGCAGCGGGGCACAGACTGACTCATTGGCAAGCAAACATTAAGTAACTACTCTGCGCCAGCCTCCGCGAGTACAAAAATGCATAACACCAGGTTATGAATAAAGAGCTGATAAATGTAGCTTTATTCATACACTTATTTGCTCAATAATAAATTGTTCTCTCAGAAAAGGCAAAATCCACCATTTACAGGACCTGAATATCAAATCATTAGGAAGTTCAAAGTCTTGAAGTTTTGTGTAAGAATGAGAGAGGTCAAAGGTGAGGAGAAAAGATAGAACCCGAGATATCCTACTTCCTGGCTGACTTCAGTCAAAATATCAGGTCTTCGCCTAGAAGCCAATGATGCAGCCACGACTCAATCACAGCAGCTGGAATATGAGTTCAAGAGCAGGAAAAGGGAATCTGGGTAAGGCATCAGCACCGTCCACTACCACTCCCTCCATCATTTTCTTCTAAATTAGGCAGGAGTCAGAAAACTTTTTTTCTGTAAAGAGCCAAAGAGTAAATAGTTTAAGCTTTTGCCATTTGGTCTCCATCACAACCACCCAACTCTATCATTGTAAGTACAAAAGTCACCATAGGCAAAATACAAATGAATGGACAATAAAATTTTATTTTCGAAACCAAGAAATTGTGTTTTCTGCCTATCCTTTTGGAGACCAGGAGTAATCTTGGTCTGTCACTAGCACCAGGTTTGAGAGGCAGATGTGGACTGTGGTGGAAAAGATTGGGCTTCTAATCGCAGCTCTGGCTGTCCCAGCTTTTTCAGTTGCCAGTGCCAGAAACCGAACTCCAATGAACTCAAGGAAAATGGAGTATGGGACAAGGAGTGCTCAGGTAACCTAGCCATGGGTAAGCTTTAGGACCTGCCCTCTGCCTATACAACATTTTGGCTTTGTCTCTCATACTATCAGTGGAATTTATTTCTGCTCCAGGGAACATGACCTCTGGCAGTTCAGGACTCAAACATTGATGGCCCCAGTCCTGGAGAGGAAAAGGGATCTCTCTATTCAGGGATAGGTAAGAAGATCATGGTGTCACATAGGACAAGGGTTTCAAGGTCTCAGTGATTCTTACTAAATGCTATTCTTGCTATATGTTCAAATGCAGAAGCAGCTGTAACCAGATGAGCTTAACCTGAGCTCAACACAGATAAATTTGTGACTGCAAAGAAGAAATCAACATGTAATTAACCAAATAGTGTATGTAAGCAATAGCTAAGCCTCCCTTGGGGAAACAAAGCTTCGGATATGAATCATCTTTCTCCTCTACTTGCTACAAATAAATAAAACTACATAACAACAACCATGTAGTGTTCTTGAATAGAATACCCCAAGCAGCAAACCCCTTAAGTTCAGTAACAATAGGGGAAAATTGGATCATGTGTCTATGTAGAGCTCTAACTTTTATTTCATGGATCATTCACCCCTCCTACTTCTCATGGCCAGGGTGATAGACAGGGTCTGACACAAGAAACATGAAAAGTGGAGCCTGCACCTGGACCATTTTGACCCAGTCTCTCCAGAATATGTTAATTAAGAAACCTTGAGCTACTAACCTCTACAGTCTCAGTTTCTTCTCCCTCTTCTCTGCTCATGTGAGATTTCAACACTCAACAAATATTTTTTCAGCATCTAATATGTGCCAGGTACTATGCTAAGTTGGTAGTGTGAATTTAGTATGAACAAAACAAAAATGCCTCTGCCTTCACTTACCTTCCTACAAGGGAGTTTTGCAAACCTCAGAAACAGCCAGCCTTGATCTTTGGTCCCAATGGTTTGAGAAACACTGAACAGGGTATGTTGCTCTAAAGAATAGTCCCCCTTCACTGTCTCCACTTATTCCCTCATTATCTCTATCCTAATGAATTGTCCTCCATAATTCAACTAAAGCTGCCCTAGAAAAAGTCACCAGAGAACCTTCTTATTGCCAAAATGAATGCACCATTTTTGCCCTCACTTGTATTGCACTTGGGGGCATTTAATGTAGCTGTCTACTGCCTATGTTCTTAAACTCTGTTCTTTCTCACCTTTGGTGACATGCACTCTTCTGGTTGTCCTCCTACATAACGGGATGAGAGGTCATTTAATTATGCTTTTTCATTTTTACTTTATAAACTTTTTTATAAGTAGGAGGTTTTATATTAAAAATTGAATTAAAATAAAATAGGTTAATGAGAAAGTTTAAAAGTCTAAGATTAAAGAGAAAATGAGTTTTAATCTAACTAATTTTATCTAACTATCAGGTTAAACTGTCTACATTTCATTGACTTAATCCCTTAGAAGAGGGGATATTGTTAGAGTCAATTTAATAAGCATTGACAGTACATTTTTGTGCTAGGATTTTATATATGTATAGATAGATTAGATAGATAGATAGATAGATAGATAGATAGATGATAGATAAATAGATAGTAGATAGGTGATAGATAGATGATAGATATAGATACATAGTGAGAAAGATGATAGATAGATAGATAGATGATAGATAGATAGATAGATAGATAGATAGATAGATGATATAGATAGATAGATAGATAGATAGATAGATAGATAGATAGATAGATAGATGGATAGATAGATGATATAGAGATATAGAGTAGCAGGGAAGCTTTTGTAGATGAAATCATTGTTTTAAGGTATGAGCAGGTGTTCAACAGGCAAACAAGGTAGCATGTCAGACAGGGTCAGGGCAGTTAGATCAGAAACAGCAAAGTTTGTGCTGGGAGTGCTGAGGAGGTCCTCATGCCTAATGTGTGAAGTTTGTGGATGGAAACAGAGGTTAGGATGAGGCCAGAAAGGGAGGCAAAAGCCAAATCAAGGAAGGAAATATGAAATTTGAATTTCATATGCAGGCAATGGGAAGGCAATAGAGCTGGGAGTACTTAATCTATTAATATGGTTGATCATCTTTCTATATATGTTAACCATGTCAATTTCTACTGGGTTGCTTCTCTTTTTCTTGTCAACTGGTAGGGCTTTATATAGTCTAGATTATAATACTTTGCCTGTTTCTATTGTTGCACATATGTTCTCTCATTCTGTCATTATTTTTTATGCTTGCTTATGTGTCTTTGCCACATAGAAGGTCTATATTTTCATGTAGATAACATGGTCTTTTACTTTAGTGAATTTGGATAATTACTTTTGTGTCTTAAAAAAATCCCTCTCCATTTCAAAGGTGAAAAATATTATTTCATCTAATTCATTTATAGTTTTGTTTATATGGTTAGCTCTTTATTTGAGCTGAGGATTATTTTTTGTTCATGGTAAAAGTAGAGTTCTAACTTTTATTTCCCAAAGAAAGAACCATCTTTCATAACATGATTTATTGTACAGTCTATTATTTTTCACAGTATAAAATGCCATCTTAATCACATTCTAAATATTCCAGATTTCCCTGTGCATATTAATGCACATTTCTCTATGCACATAAAATATGTATAAAATTGAAAAACACCAAAACCTAAATTAAAAAATGGTCAGAAGACATTCACAGATCATTAATAGAAAATATACTTAACTAATCTTCAACCTCAATAGAAACTTAAGCTGCTGATTAAAATAATAAAGAAAATAGATTATTTTTAAAATCAGAAAAATGTCACAGTAATAATTAAGCCAATTAGTAAAGGTACATTCTAATGAACATTCTCATTCCTTGCTGATGAGAATGTAAATTAGTACAATCTTTCTATCCTTAAAGCATTAATTCTCATTAATAAAACAAATTATCCTTTAGTTGTGTATCCTAAGGAAACAGAGATTTGGTCAAAGATTTATATAAAGGATGCTCATCAGAGTGATATTTAAAACCATGACAAATTTAAAGCAATCTAAATGTTGAACAATATGGATTAGTTAAATTACTTATGGCACATGCATATGAAAGAATATTATGCTTTTATAATTGGATATTTTAAAACAGTTTATCAGTAAAGAAAGTGGTTTTACATAAGGCTCAATATACATTAATTAACAATGCCTTGAGAAGCTAATTTTATTTCTTTTTTAATTCTTTATTGTTGAAAGTTTTACATAGGTCTCCTTTTTTCCCTATTGACCTCTCTCACCCGCTCCCGTCCCCCAGCACATATGCCCCCACCCTCCTATTGTCTTTTTTGAAGGGAGAACTAGACTAATGTATAAGTGGAATTCAACACATCTACAAGAGTGTATAGAGCTCCTAATATACATGTATAAAATTCCTGGTATACCTGGTGGGTTATAGTTGCCAGTTTCTAGATATGTAGATGTAAATAGAATGTAATCCCTGCCCTCAAATATTCACAACACAAAGATAAAGGAGAAGAAACAAATGGAAAATTATAATACAATGTTCTATATATAAAGAATATTCAGACCCATTCCATAAGAGAAAACAAGAAATAGGTAGGAACTTGTCTGGCCAGTGTGGCTCAGGGTTGAGCATTGACCTATGAACCAAGAGGTCATAGCAGGAGGCAGCCAATCTCTCATCATTGATGTTTCTATCTCTCTCTCCCACTCCATTCCTCTCTGAAATCAATGAAAATACATTTTTTAACAAAAGAAATAGGTATGAACTCAATCCAGAGGCATCGGGGCAGAATGACATAGTACTGGTGAATCTGGATGTCTGCAGGGGTTTCAGACTCTCCCATTCTATATAGTTCTTAATGAAATATGGTGAAAGATGGTAAATGGATTTGATAGGTCCATTGCAGAACTATATCTGATAATGTTTCTACTAGCATATTTCAGGATGCTGTACTTGATCTTCCTGGGTTTCCCCCTCCACCCAAAAAAATGTTTTAATTGATTTGGATGAAGACATAGAAGATGGAAAGAATAGTTAACACAAAAAGATGAGGGAATCAAGTCAAGAAATATCTGGCAAGGCTGAAGGATGGACTCGTTGACAGGATGAGAGTTAAGCAGAATACAAAGCTCCACATTTAATTCAAAGAATGGGTTAGTCTAAAGTAGTTTGTTATTTTAAAAGTCCAAAGAAGTTTCAACATCATGCTGGAAATCCTAGATAGTGCAATAAGACAAAAGGAAGTAAAAGGTTAACAGACTGAAGTAAAGAAATAACACTGTCTTTTTTCATAGATGATCATGTCATCATGTCAGAAAATCTGAAAGAATCAACAACCACCAAAAAGCTACTGAACTAATAAGCAGTTACAGTATAGTGGCAGGATACAAAGTTAATACCGGTACACAAAAGTCAATAGTTTTGTGCATATGAACAATTAATAAGTGGAATTTAAAATCAGAACATAATATCACTTCCATTATTATTCCAAAAAATTAAATACTTAGGTATACATGTAACAAATTATATAAAACATCTTAAACTTATGCTTTTTAAAAATATATTTTTGTATTGATTTCAGAGAGGAAGGGAGAGGGAGAGTCAGAAACATCAATGATGAGAGAGAATCACCGATCGGCTGCCTCCCGATTGGGGATCGAGCCTGCTATCCCAGCATGTGCCCTTGACCAGAATCGAACCTGGGACCCTTGAGTCCACAGGCTGAGGCTCTATCCACTGAGCCAAACTGGCCAAGGCTAAACTTGTGCTTTTTAAAGGGAAATCTGATGGAATAATGGAGCATGAGTGTGAGCAGAGAAAAAATGAGTAATATAGGTGTTCACTATTCCTTGTTACCCCATTCACACATACCATTCATGACATCTCATAAGCACTGAATTCCAGTGGATCCATGATATGTCAAGAGTTCAGTAACACTCAAAGTGTGTAAAGGTGTGTTACTTCTATGCTGAGTAAGTAGGGGCACTAACAGCCCCCAGAAGCCATTTGAACTAGAACTTGCTAAGATGGCAGTGGTGTTCTAAGAAATACAAGCAACCAAGACATCTTGTTATACCCTTTCTTATTCTTGTTACTTGCTGCATTAGACAACCATTTAATCTGAAAATGGTAGCACAGAAGGGAAAGATAGGTCAACCCATAGTTCCTTCCCTTTTAATTTTTTTTTTTTTTACTCACTAGTAAGCCAAAGTAGAATGTTGGTTGAATGTGAGCACATCAAGAAGTGAAATAAAAATATTTGGCTTCATTTTGTGTAGTGTTTCTACTGTTCTGATAAGAATGATATACATATTTATGTATGATATACATATGTATGTATGTATGTATGAGATACAAAATACTAATTGTGTAGTTT